CTCTTACTAATTTTTACAATATAAGTTTAAAATTTCGTACAAAATAATCTTAAATTTAAACACGATACTAATTTTTGGCTTCACTTGAATAATTTTCGTAACTATTGAATCCCTACAAATAATGTTTTTAGCTTTCAGAATATAAATCAAATTAAAAAGCTAAATGAACTCTACACATATAGGATTAACAGAGCTATTCTAGTCTGAGACTGAGAAAGCGTTTACATAAATATTGTACTTTAAAATAGTATTACTTATTTTAAAGTAATTATATTACAGTAAACATAACAATAGTAAAAAGAGAGCAATAAGAGAATATAAACAGAAATGAATATATTTTGTAACATTTTTACAAGCATCTAGATTATATAAAAATGTCAGTATGTTGTGATAAAAATGTCAGTATGTTGTGATACACTTTTATACCCTTTTTAATTGCGTTATTAAAAGGTCAGTTGTTGGATACTATCGGCAAAGTTCGCAACTATTATGGAAAGTATGAATTCGCATCGGGTAGAATGCCTAGACATTTTATAGAATGTCGAAAACTGTTCGCAATGTACGATCCAATTAATCCAATTAAACATTTCACTCAGTGCCTAGGTATTCTATGGAGTGCCAAATTACAAACCGGCAAAGTATTGTTACGAAATGTACAGATGCGGTGAGATACCTTCCCCGCAAAGCAGTTTTAGGGTTGCGATGAATTGGCAAGAAAAGGTCGGGTTGCCACATTTGGCGAGAATTCGCCCGTTGGCGACAAAGTGGCGATAGGCATAGACGGATGGAGAACCTTCTGGAACGAATTCTTACCGGTTTAGCCCAATGTCTTAACGCCGCAAAAGCTATAAAACCCGCTGGTACGGAAGTTAGTTAGTATCAGTGTTGGCCTCGTCTAGCGAGATGATAGTCAGTCATTGAGCGAGTGTCTCGAAGTCTAGCTGCCGAGTTGATCGTCGAGTACATCGAGAGAGTATTTTAGTGTATCGCGAATTAGTGCATCGCCGAGTTTTGTCTTAGACTGTGCTTGAGTTCGAGAGCTATACTCTTGTGTATCGTCGAGTGCATTCACGAGTTGTAGTGTGGAGAGTCTCGAGAGTACATGGAGTTCCGAGAACGACCGAGCAGAAGTCGGGAGCTGTAATTCTGGTGCTTTGCAGTGAAGCTGTCTCCACCGGTTGTTAGCCTGATAACCTAACCTGAAGGCTGTGTCGCTGATTGTGTCAGCGTGTTTATAGTAGATCTTCATTGACGACTGTAAAACATCATTTTGGAGCTGTCCTGATTAATATTGGTAAATAAAGTGTCTTTCGATACTTTATCAAGTGTCGTCGTTATTCACTCAATCTACGAACCCCGTACGAATGTGAAGGTAGAAAAAGATAACGTAACAACTGGTGTCAGAAGCAAAACGTAACAGTATGAAATACATCTGATATTCTTTTTCGAATAACCGAAAATACTTACTAGAATTTAATAAATTATGTAAAAAGCCAAAATGATTACTTAGAAGGAACTGTGAGACTATTGTTTGCTGAATCGCTATGATTTAATGTTTTTGGACAACAAAATTAAACTCATATATCTTGTTAAAGAAGGGGCGTCTGTGTCGTACAATATTCCTTCATGGACACTTAGTTATTTCACATACTTCATGAAATTCGTTCCGCTATTTGACACGTGACATAATATTGAAAAGAGGACATAAATAACTTGATATAATATTGAAAGAACTTTTAGCCAAATGCAAAATCGTTATACGTTATGATATTAAACAGTACAACGGTTTTTGGAGCCCTGCCAGAAAAAGCAAAAGGTATTCTAAAGGGCATTGTTTGTGAAACCTATGATTTTTTTTTTCTGAATTTCATGCCCGTCGTCAGGCAGATGTTGCTGATATCCACTTTCAGTCAGATAGAGAATTCAAATTTATTATGGTATGCCAAGATCATCCCACTAACGTTCTTTTACGGATTTTGAATAAAAGTTTCTTAATAGCAGTCTTTCATTACTTTTCCAAAATAACATTCGAATTTTTGAGAAAAGAACTTCTTTTAAATAATAGCCTTATCACGACCTTTTCATACTTTTCCAAAAGAACACTTGTTGCCTAAAGAAGCATTATATACAGTGCCTGGATAGAGTACATAATAATCCTCATATTTCACATTTTGCCTAAAAACTTCAGGTATTCTATCGAAAGCCGGCGTTTCATATTTTATATATATATATAAGATACTTAAATGTATATATATTTAAGACTTTATATGAACATATTTATATGATATATACATATAAATTCATAATATATATAAGATACTTAAATATATATATATATATAATTAAAAAGCTAGGTAGTAAGTACTGTGCAGAAATACCTATTGAGTCTTAAAAATTTTTTGCGCGATATGCTGCAAAATTAAGGAAATGAGAAGAAGATAAATTGTAATGAGCTCGCCAAAAAGTTACCTGGAGCTGTGGCTCCAAGAAATAGTTCAACACAGTATTTTTAAAAAAACAATGACATTGAAGGGTGAAAAGTTAGGCTACACGCGAAATAAAATATAGAATGTAAAGCACAGTAAAATATTAATCGTTGAAACAGGTAATGGCAAAATACATTAAAATTCTATCGATGTGATAAGTGAAAAGTTAACACATATAAAAAAACCGATCGATGGAACAATTAAACAAATAAACAAATAAAAACAAAATTATAAAAAATTATAAGCGAAATTTAATTACTCAATTCGACTTCAACCTGCTTTTCAAGGAAATTTCTAGTTAAACGTCGAACCAAGCTAACTCCATTACGCGTTCGCCGAACAACAATGAATTTGTTTACGAAAATTTTTTATAATTATGAATTGTCCTAAAAATTTTTTATAGTCTCAATTCTCTGTTCCATTTCCCGACGCATCAGCACAAAATGACACATTAAGGTGTAAAAATGTAAATGCAACTCCTACGTACAGAAATAATTAAAATAAATAAATAGCGGCTGCTATTAGTCAAACTACAAGAACGTACGGCTGGACCTGCAAGCTTAAGAATTAGACCTTATAAATTTTTATAGATCTGAAATTAAATTTAAATGAAAACAAACGCAGTGGGTCTTGCTAAGACCAAGAAAATTTTTTTTAAAAAAAAGAAACATTAAAAAACAGACCTGTGGCTATGCTGTCCTCTTGATCGTGAAGCTAAGTTGAAAAGGGGTTGTAATTCTCCTCTGTGTACTTCTAAGCCATCCCTCTCGTCGTGTGACGTAAGGCGGGGGAAACAATGTTACTGCGATTAGATTGCCAATGCGATTAGATTGTCCGTTGGCGGGAACTCGTCCCCCCAGAGCTAGAAAGTGGTTGAAAGACTGGAAAAGACGTGGAAAGAATTCAAAATGGCGTCAAGTTGTTTTGAAGATAAAACTGTTTCTAAATGTGAAAAGGGCTAATTCAGCTTAAATTACTCAACATGGCCACAAAAGTACAGTAATGGAAAAACAGTCATTTTTAATAAAGTCGTAATTCTTCAGCTAGAGGGCGATCAGCTACATGAAAAACGAAAAGGGCCCGATTGTTATAAAGAGAATTGGCCATCAAAGTAATTTAAACTATTAAACAATAGTATTAAGTATTGTCCAAAATTTTTGGGGAGAAACGTAGTGACAAAATTATCTGTACATTTTTACATTAGATTCTCTGAATCAGCATCCACTTTATACCGTCCCATTGGGCTTTAAGTATAAAATTTTACTATCGACTCAAAAAACAAATTGGTAAGGCTAATGCCAGCTTTTTAAAGTATTTTAATTATTTTTGAGGAATTAGGTTATTTTTCAAATTGTCACGAAGTATAGTATTTCTTCTTGAAGTGTTTTGTGGTATTGCATATTCTTTTTATTCTAAGTAGTTGTGAATAAATTGTGTTTAGGATGATCTTTGGAAATATTTGATTCCAGTTGGTTAATTTTGTGTAGAAAAATTGAATTCTCTTCTTTTGTCGTAAACTTTTATAAAATTGTTTCAAAATATGTAAGTCAAGGTAGACTACATTATGTTGCACCGTATTTGTATTATTTAGTTTAAGTATGTTGTAGATATTAGCAACTTCTATTTGTTGTAGTTGTTAAAGGCAAGACATCATCAATTCAACGATAGATGTGTTGGTAAATTTTATGTTCTTTATCCATCGATGATTTTTTTACTGTATTTTTGCCATTTACCTTTTTCCTACGATTAATATTTTACTGTGTTTTATATTCTATATTTTATTTCGCGTGTAGACTTTTCACCCTTCGATGACATTGTTTTTTTAAAAAATGTGTTGAACTTTTTCTTGGAGCCACAGCTCCAGGTAACTTTTTGGCGAGCTCTCTACAATTATATATATATATATATATATATATTCAATATAAATACTTAAAGTAATTAAAAAGGCCTATGACTTGCGCTAAGCTGCAAAGTAATAAACTAATAATTCATAATAAGTTATAATAAGAAATCTTTCCATATACCATGTCCAAGGAACGCAAATTCAATTTAAAACCACAAATGAAAAAAAAAATTATCTTAAATCACAAAAGAAAAAGAAAAAAAAAAAAAAACTAAACTAAAAGTAAATTTAAAATATTCAAAAAGTAGTTTTTGTCAATGATCGCATATTAATCGACTTATCAAGGGGATAAACCAATCTACCATCAATTAACAACAACTAAAGGAATATATACATATACAACATGCGCTCAAAACTTATTTTAATGCTCAGAAACCTGCGTTTTAAGAAAAGGTTTTAAGTTTTCCCACTGTGATAAGGTTGCCTAAGTAGATGGTAAGCGGCATTTTTGTAGGAAATTTTGATAAAGTAGCTATATGATAAAATATAGAATGCAGCCATGAAATGCGTTCTCAAGTTTTTAAAGAAAGGAGAAAATAATACTATTTCACCTCATTAAGTAAGTAAGATCATTATTATGGCGTTTTGTAGGAAAAATTTAAACTTCATACCTTCCTTTCCATTAGAAATAATCCGAGCACTACACCGTTTAGAGTATAATCCAAGCGCTACACCGTTTAGAGTATAATCCAGTTCTGTGAAGTATAATCTACATCACACAACAAATCTTCACAAATGAATTTATTAAGGAGTTGTATTAAAAGTATATTTAAGGACTTAAACAATCTTCTTCACTTCTACGCAGCTCGAAATAAAGTATTTGCTTTCGACAGATAAGTGGTAGGCTGTTGCTAGAGGGTATCAGGAGAAGATAGGAGATTTCTGTTTGAGAACATTTTTGAGAGATAAGTTATCTCACCTTACACTCTTAGTAGTCGACGTGGGATTGCTGTTACTGCATTTTCACGATAAATATATCGCTAAAAAGCTGAAATATTTTTCATGTAGTTTTAATTGTGAAATCAAATTTACTTTTCAGACTCATGATACTATATATAGCTCACTATTTTACTTTAAGTTGAATTTTCCGTGAGAAATTATTCAATGAATTTTTAAATGTCCGAATATCTAACTAACCGCGACCGCAGCCTATTCGGGTAATACTATTTTAAACAGCGTTTTCCAAGAGTTTAGCCATGCTGTCGTTGTGTTTGCATAATAGTGGTTTGTTTCGACCCATAAGTAAACAAAGTTGCTCTGAAAAAAAAAAAGAGATTTCTAGCAGAAAATAATACTTTGATATTATTAATATGCTAATTTGAGCGATACATATTTTAGCACTATTACTAGCATCTGAAGTAACATTGGGTTTTTAGAAAGCCATGCATACTAAAAATTACTTGGAGAATAATGTTGTTGTTGTTTTGTCCATAAATGGAAGAAAGGTTACCATAGTTTCGAAGAGGCTGGACTTCTACTTCACCCCCTCCCCCAATTTTGAGGCAGAGCACTCCGGGGATGGTTCGAAGGTCTTCCATCCTTCTCCGCTTCCACCAAACCTTCCGATAGGGCTTTCAACTCGCCATGTACTTAGAGTGCCCCCATACCGCAAAGACATTATACATTTACAAACATCCAAGCCTTCTCCAGGATTCGAACCCGGATCCTTCGTTACCGTAGGATTCTCACCTAACCTCCATACCGTCTGGATGGCACAATAGCAATATGAAAGCAATTGTATACTTACCTAGCACTGGGATATGCCTTGATCAAAGCAATAGTATAGCAATATAGTAATATCAAAGCAATACAGTCAAAAGTCGTTAATCCGGACTCTCGGGACTTCGGCGATGATTCCGGATTATCGATTTTTCCGGATTATAGATCATCAGTTTAAATCTGGTAAGATGGCATGCAGAAATTATAAAATTAAAATTATGAAACCGTAATTTATGAAATAAAGAACAATTATGATCTAAAAGATATCAAAATTTACAAAAAAAAAAGCTTAATATTTATTTGTTTACTTTATTAAACATTTCTTTCGATGTAAGTTGCTTCGTTTATGTGATAATACTTTCTCTTTCATTCTATAAACAGACATAATTTCCTCTTCAGTTACAAAGTTCCGCTGTTCAAGTCCTATAATTGCTGTGTCGAGAATACCGACTAATTTGTCAATCGAAATTTTTTCATTTTCAATAACCTCGTTGTCACTTTCTTCACTATTGGAAGCGAATTATAATGACGAGGAATTTGATTTAAATCATATCAAAGATGGAGTACATCGAGATGAAATACTACATTTAGTAAGGAATTATAAGCCAAATATAATAAAAACATCTGCCCTGAAGATAAGGATAGTGCTGACAGATCAACTTCCAATTCATTGCGCGCCGCGGGCGTTCCCCCCCCACTCCACAGAGCAGAATGAAATTGATAAACAACTTTCGGAATGGTTAGAGAAACGAAGGATATGCCTTTATCCATTTTTTACAGCAATTCCACTTTTTGTTTAATGGACTTCGAAACATACTTTCGCTTTGTAGATCCTTTACATATTAGTAAATATATATCGGAAATTCTATTTGACATAATCGAAAGTTCAAGCTTACTTTTATAAAATTGCTCTAACAGTCTGCAAAAAATAATAAGCCGGATCCAATTCGAAGATTAAGGAACAACGCAATCTGCAACATTAACTGAATTATATAATTTTAGCTTAGCTTATACCGTTCGTTATACATTAAACGCGCATGCGTAAACGTATTATGAGCATGCACACACGCATATTCGCAGCCGTAATGGTCTTACGCGAGGCATGCGCAGAAAGTTTGTAGCTTTGATTCTGGATTATAGATCATTCCGGATTATGGGTGTCCGAATTAACGACTTTTGACTCTAGTAAATAAAAATGTTTAACTTTTAACTAATTGGGAGCTCAAATTAATTCATAATTACAGATACAGGTAGGTACCAGGTCAACACCTCTGTAGTACGACAGGTGATTAAGGTATTGCTGAACTGTTAAGTTTTCACCCCAGCTTTCAGGAAGAACACCGCTGGAGGTGAAGCCCTAGGGTCTCCCAGCCCTCTTCCTCTGCCTCTTGCTTCTTGAGAGGACTTTCAGCTCGTCGTGTATTTCGAGTATCCCTATGTCGCAAAGACACTATACGCGTACAGGCATGTGTGCCTTTTCTAATATTCGAGTCCTTGCCGATCCATATGATGTCACTAACCATTATATTTGCTAGGCGTTATTCATAATTACAGGTAAAAATGTATTATTATAAAAAGAAAAATAGCGTTTGAACATTTTTCGCGACCCACCAAAAATTGATTTCCACCTCATTGACGGCGTGGGTCCCCATTCATACCTTGAGATCTTTTGACAATTTAATTAATTCTTCTCTCTTTAGGTCAAACAGAACTGAATGCAGTATGAAAAAGTGCATTTTGTGTTTTCGTATATCGAATTTTATTTCAACTAAGACAATACAGACAACAAAATTAAAACAAAAACATTTTCAAAGCAAATTGAGAAAGGCATGTTTTCAAACAGTGCTAAGCAATGAGTTTCTGTCAACCTAGAACTCATTTCATTAGAAATAAATTAAAATAATGAAAATAAATCTTTATTGTCGTATGCTAGCTAAGCAGTTAAACAAAAATTAATTAAAAATACGTTATAATGCTTATTGCTAAAATTTAGTTCGTAATGCATTTGTGCTTTTTATGATAAAATGTTGCCTTTAGCAATAAATTTTTTTAAAAAAATGTGTAAATAAAATAGCAACAAGCTGCAGTTTTTCTTATGTTTAAAAACACCAGGCAATTGGATTTCATTGCATTTGTATTCTTTATAAGTTTGCAATACGTAGCTTGCTGTAAAAATTACTGTCGTAATTTAATTCTTTTACAGATTCAAAGATTTTGGAGCAGCATTGAAGCAAGTAAGCAGTACAGGCCGAAATAGGGTGAGTAGAAGACCGTATTCGTACTGCCCGAGCATTTTTTAGAACTTCTATGTTTCAGAAGTATTCTTAATTTTAGGAAAAAAAAAAAAAAATAGAAATTATCGGGGACAAGCATTATCATTCTTTTCTGCTTGTTCTATTGTTTTTGTTTTTGTTTTGCTATAAAATATTAAATTAGTAATATTAATTTTATATTAACAGTTAAAATATTTTCCTACTACATTGCCTATTTTCATTATAGCTCAGATAGTTAAATAAATACTTAAGAGTATGTCTTTAAAAAACGAATCTTGACTTTCATTGAACAAATAAAATACTTTCAAACATTGGTGTTAAATTTCCTACCACACGAGGCAATGCTGTGATTAAAAAACGGGTAGGAGAGTACCTGATACAAAAAGAAAATATAACATTATATGCATCTATTTCGCACGGCATGGTAATCGTACGGTTATATGAATCCATTTAGCATATTTATTAAGGAGGTAAAATACAACTCATAACCTGACTTTTTACTCAACAACTCCAGCTAAAACTAATAGCCAAAAATATTGGGCAGGTGCAACATGTCCGGCTGACTTCAATTCAAATGCTGTCACAATGAAATATTAATATGATTGAGTATTGATCTAAAATATCTTCTAGGGGAAGTTAGGAAATGAGTGAAAAAAGGGGGTGAAACATTTACCGCTATCACATGAGTCACAAATTTCAGAATTTGAAGTAGCCAGAACAAATCGAGAATAAACATTAATGCAATGTAAAATGTTTTCTGAAACCAGAGAGCAAAGTAACTGTCCAAAACAAATCTATACTGTCAAATAAGGACACAAGTGTAAATGTAGAGGAAAGAATGAGTATGTGAAAACAATCGCCCATTCTAGATTTTAATTTTTGACCATCATAATGCCAAACATACTGTTGCGTAATTTTTCTTACTTATATGTTCGCCATTTAAAATTGGTTTTGATCTAAAAATCATACATCTGCAATTAAGTCAGGTTGTTTAGTTATAATACATGATATTCGTTCAATTGCATTTGTATTATAACGTTATTAATGATGAAGTTTAAACACCAATCAGCAACAGAAAAACACCTACACTTTTTTATGGCAAAGATGTTTCTAAAAGCAATTTTTTAACTTACGCCAAATCACACACCAAATTCATTCTCTGTTTTTAGAATATTTAGGCCCACCAGCGGCCGAGCGGTAAAGTCGCTGAGCACTGGTAGTTCGGTCCGAGGTTCGAATCCCGCGAACGGCCTGGCTGCATGGGCGTTTTCGTGGTTTTCCCCATGTGTAACGTGTATACGAGCCAGTTTCCCTTAGAAAGTCCTCCACGAAAGGCATCCCTCTCCTTAGGCAGATAGCCCTAGTGTGCTTTGCCATAATTAAATACACTAACACCATTTAGAATATTTAAAAGTTCTTTTATAGGTATCATTTCATATATATATATATATCTAAAAGCAATTTAAAAAAAGCAAATTTAAAGTTAAATAATAAAAAATTAAAAGTTAAATAATTAAAATATGTGCAACATATAAAATATATGTTGTATGATCTTAATTCACTTAGTGCGAAATCGAGTTATCTACTACTTGCGCATGCTGCAAGTAAGTTAATAATAATTTATTTACTATAGAAATATTGATTATATTATCTCCTAATTAATTTTAGTAGAATTATCTTAATAGAGTGAAACCATAGTTAGTAAGTTCAATTCCGAAAATTCAATTGGCCTAGCCTGAATTGCCGGCTTAGCATTGCCTTATTACTTGAGTAAAGGACGAAACACCTTCGTATTTATTTCTTAATTATTATTCATTGAACGGGAGTTGGTTTGTTC